TCAGGGCAGGCGGGAATGGTACTCATGTACAAGTGGCTTAAGCCTCCCAGTGCTGTGCTTTAACCCGCCGCGCCACCAGGGAGGGCCCAGTCAGTGACTTTTCTAAGAAGTAGCACCAGTGTGTCTGTTGCATAAACTTTGCTCAAATATACCTCCAGTTGGGTCTCAATACTTCAGAGTGTTTGACAGGGTTCAGAAATAAACCACAGAAGTTTGTAATATAGTGTTTATGGAAAAACTAAAGAAAATGAAATTACTTAATCCTATAGGTGAAAGCAATTACATGCAGAAGATATCAATATCTCTGAAGACAAAGATGCTAATTGAGTATTGTAGCTGGAATTGCAGCCTAAAAGAATTAAATGGAATACATCATCAATCTCTGAGGAAATGGCCAGAGATGTGTTTTTAAAAAGGAAACATTCCCATAAGTAAATAGTGGACAAAGGTTCTTAGCAGGATGAAAAACTTTAATCAGATGATCACTGACAGCAACTTCAGCCTCATAAGTTTAGGTTTCAAATTATAATGCTTAATATCAGTTGTTACCAGGGAAATTAACATCAAAAGCACAATGAGCTATCACTTCATATTCATGAGAATGGCCCATATCTTTAAAAAAAAAACACACACACACACACAAACCAACAACAAGGACTGGCAAGGTATGGAGTAAAAGAAGCTGCCTTACACTGTTAGTAGGAATGTAGACTGATCAGCCCATAGGGAGAGAAGTGTGGAAACTCCTCAGAAGACTAAAAATAGGTTACCATATGACTTAGCAATTCCACTGCTATTTATTAACCCATAGAGCACAAAAACTTTTATTCTAGAGGAAACCTGTATTCCTATATTTATAGCAGCATAATTTGCAATAGATAATCTATGGAAACCTTCTTAATGCCCCAGAACAGATGAGTGATCAAGAAAATTTGGTGTATATACAATACAAAATGTGCTTTATGTGTGTGTGTGTGTCGGTGTGTGAGCAATCAAAAGGGATAAACTTATGCCATTTGCAGCAACATGGATTTCGCAGGAAGGGATTATTCCAAACAAAGTAGACAGGAGAAAGATAAGTGGTTTCACTTATATGTGGAATCTACAAAGGATCAGACAAAGACAAGCTGTAAGACTGACCCTTGAGTGCACATATGAGATACTCAGGAGGGGAGAAAGAGAATAGAGAACAGGGTAGCGGAGAATGTGATGGATGATGTGGAGAACTGTAGGTACTTAGGAGATGGGAAAGCTAGTGACCACACTTGAAGGGAGAAATCCAGTATTATGAAAAAATAAACAAAGATATTTAAATAATAATCAAATAAATGAATTATAATTCATTTATAAAAAACCTTGCTCATAGTTGGCACATAGAAAAAATATGTTAATGATTTAAAAAATGACTCCTATTATCCTCAGGTAAGATACATATTGGATATTATACAAAGTGAATTAAGCAGCCACAAATTTCATGATGTGAGAGTGACTTATAATCTGTAAAGAGCCTCAGAAATATGATAAATGTTATTGGGAACATAATGAAAAGTGGCCCTCACCTCCTGGGAACAGAATCTTAAAGACATGTTTTACATATAGAAAAAAGTTTTCATGTCAGCAACAGTAGAATGGTAAATGGCCTCCCAGAGAAGTGAGGCCTGAGGGGAGAAACAGCAGGTGCACATTTCTTAGTGTGATTGGGAGACATTCCCATCTGGTGCTTCATCAGAGACGGTCTGTCTCCTTCCACAACTATGAGGTGACTTATGTATGGTGCCTTAGGGTACTGCAGCAGCCACTTATCACCCGCAAGAATGAAATACACTCAAGGCTGACTCCACAATGAAAAGGAGGATTTGGAGGTGATTTGCTGCAGCCCTAACTATAGGGCTTGTGTACAGCATTGTGCCATTCAAGTCAATGTGGTGACATTCAAGTCAATGTGATCACATTATAAAATGCTGGATATTTACTTTTCTGTTCATTCTTTTCCATGGGTTTTACTTGAGGAGCAAAGCCTGTGTTCATTGCTAGTTCCCTAGGGAAGAGTGAGTGTTAGGTCAGCTGGAACAAAGGCCTGGCAGTTCAGTCATTGATACGTCATCACACACATTCTCTCTTAAGTGCATCGTCCTCATCAAACCGCAGAGCTGATTACCACATACATTGCTTTCTCTTCAGAGAAGTAGAAAGTCAAGGACAAGTACAAAAGTGATGTTCTTTTGAGACTGCACCTCCATGTGATTCCGCAAGCCCCAGCAGTGAGAAGTTTTGCCATCTCTCTTCACCCTGCTGCACTCCCTCTCCCCCACCCCACCCCCAGCTGCTGGTACCTTCACCATGGCCTGTTTTTCCTTCTGTCTCCCACTGTGTCATCACTGTATTAGTATACCTCTCCATCCATATATTCATCTCACATTCTGACAAAAAGGTCTTTTGCCATCAGTGCCATCAGAATCTCACCATTTGGGCACACAGAGTTCATGTACTGTAGGATAAACACCTAAACTCATTAAGTACACAGGGAATTCAGAATAAATAGATCAATCTGGGCCAAAGAAGTCCAAGAAGATATTCATAACTACATCATTTCTAACTACCTGAAGCGAAGCACTATCTTTCTGTGAAACATATCCCTGGCTTAACCCAGCCTTTTGTGTACCCAACAGTGACACATTCGAGGACCTGGGCTATCGAGGATAATTATTGATACTATTCCTCCCAAAACCTCGATTCCTTCCTCTAACCATTCCAGGACAAAATGAGTTTATTTCCGCAAATGTTTTAAGAAACCCACTTCTGGAAATCATTCATTTCCAGAATAATATTAATGTCTAAATTTTTGGTTTTTTCCAAAATCAATCTTTGAAGTATATTAAAACTTTATATGATGTGAAATCTCTTTGACTAAAATTGGCTGAAATAAGAACATCGACATCTACCCTTTATTAAATACAACCCATAGGCAAGTCCTCTCACTACATAGGCACCAGGTTCTTCTTCTGAAAAAGGAATTGTTCAGACCACATGCGCCAGACCATCTCTGGCTGTCCTGAGTGGCATGGAGGTAGCAGTGCTTTCCAGAATTCTACAGGCACCTGTGATACATCCTCTTGCATCAGCCAAAATGCCTTTGCCGGATTCTAGTCAACAAACTTGGTCTCACTGGTATTCTTACAAGGACAGAGCAATGCTTGTCAGTCTTTGATTAGTGAAATGCTTTTAATTAAGAAAAAATGGGAAATTACCATAGAGATTACAACTGAGATGGAAAAAAAATGCACAAAATGAAGAATGATGTAAAAAAAGAAAAATGGGAAATTAAAGTAATTTGTATTTAATAAGTGCAGTGTAGTAGTGAAAAAATATTAACACCTAAGGCAGGGAAGATAAATCTGCCACTAGTTAGCAATTAATAGATTCAGTTATTTTTCATTTCCGTCTCACCTCAATTTTTCCCTGAGACTAGGTTAAAATAATCTTCCAGTGATGAAGCAGTGCTTATATGATCTGTTAATTCCACACCATGAAGACAGACTAGAAGAAAGAAAGAGAGGTCATTCCAGGCATAATTTGTTATAGCTCATTCTCCAGTCAGAATAAAACTTTAAAACAAAAGTATGGAAGGAAGTTTCTTTCTTACCAAGTTCTACCATCATGGTTCAGTATTTGATATTAATTGCTTAGAAACTAGTTTTAAAAATACGTTGGTCCTAGTACTTTTGCTGGTTATATTCAGTCTGTTCCATTTGAATTCATGTCTCCTTCTGCAGTGCCTTGAATAAAATAATAAAATAATAAAAACAGGACATTCAGGGCTCTAGTTACTGTAGACATGCCCTAACCTTTGCAGAACTTAAGTAACCAGAGCTGCATAATGTCTTTTCAAGCTGAAAAAAAAAAAAAAAAAAAAAAACAATGAAATCACACACCTAAGGTGCTGGCTCATTTTCCACAATTCTTTGGAAGTACTTCTGTGTTTCTCCACCCACGTTTCTGGTTATACCTTAAACATGAGCAGCAACCCTTGGTGGAAAGGGGGCTGGGGAACCTGAGAAACCAGTACCTTCTAAGTGATTAGACCTGGGAACAGTCCAAGCTAGTTCTCAAAGATGTAATAAAATTCAGTGACTGTGCCATCACCCTAGTCCAATGCACTTCCTTCCCCACTGTTTTTGATCCCATTGGTGATGGGAAGCCCAGGGGGATTGCAAATGAGATAGAAAAATGTGCAAAATGATGTAAAAATAAACTATTATATATCTTTTTTTTTTTAAATTATCAACATGGTGACTAAATAAACAAAGTGTACTTTACAAAAAAAAAAAAAATTCAGTGACTGAGGTGTGTCTTCCCTTCATCTCTTCTCCCGCTGGCCACCCCTGAAAGATTTTGTTCAGTTCTACACTTAAAACATGTGAAGACAGACTGGAATAAAGTTCAAAGTAGAGTAGCCAAAAACCTTAGGATTTGGAAATCCTGTCCAATGAAGGAAATGATAAGTAAAATGAACAGTTTCTCTGAACAGATAGAAGCTTCCAAAGTTGCAGATGCACTTGATTTAAATATCCTTGGCCCTGCCATGGGGACAGAAGTTTAGTCCTACTCTGTGGGGCTACAGGGAAGAGTGAAAAGGGCCAGTTACTAGGGATAATAAGGAGAGAGAGTCTGTTTCCACCTAATATGGAGTCAAGAGACTGCCCTTTGAGTGAGCTCCTTGAGAACAAGTCCTGGATGCTGACACGATACCAACAGAGACTTGAAGGAAGACTGTTTCTTGGAGGAAGTTGCTTTTTCCTGCAGGATTCATTTAACAGACATTTTAATTGTTCATAACTTGGTATATTATCTTTCTGTTCTAATGTCAAACCCTCATTTTCTCAGGGAAATGAATAAGCGTCTAACAGAGGAACAAGCCAAGAAAACCTATGATCGTGCAATTAAGCTAGAACAAGAATTTGGAGAATATTTTACAGGTAAGTTCATGTTACCCTTGTGTTCTAAGAAAAGAGATAAAAAGATAAAAGACTGTCTGACTTTGGGCGCTGCTAAGGCGATGGACCTGGCATGCTTGGGCCCTCAGACATTCCTGTTGACAACCCCTGATTTCCCTTTGCTTCACCCACTTGGTCCAGAAACTGGTTCTCTCTTCTTTGCGCACAGCCACAACCAATTCTCAGGTTCCCACCAGCCCTGTGCAGAACCTTCAGGGCAGATGCTACTGAGCTATCTCTTGCTAGTAAGAAGATTTGCAGTATTGTTTCTTCATTAAATGATCTTTTTTTTTAAGAAAACTTAAAAAAGAAACTTTGAGGGCTTACAATTAACAATGTACAAACCTTGTATAATTTACCCTCCAACTGATTCTCAGTGGTTTAAAAACAAGAACAAAAGCTTTTCTCTTGTTTTACCTTATACAATATTAGATATTATATTTTTCTCTTCAGAATATGAAAATGTCATTGGCTTAAGCTGTTAGTTTGTAAATATATAAGGTAACATTAAATAAAATTTGTATCAATAACAAAGACATGAGTTATAGTTTATCCTAAAATAATATCCAGATAGGACATAAAATCAAAACAATTTTTAGCCAGAAGTTTATGCTCAGGATGAAACTACGATAATCAATATGTTCTGAGAATTATTTTTGAAAATCAAAACCACATTTCAGTAGCATCTTATTTTTAAGACCAAGTGTTACATGGAAAATATGCTGGAGAGCTATCAAGATAACATTTGTTTGAAGGAGATAATAAGATGCATAAACTTACTCTGGCAACTTGGTGTCTTAGGTAATACATAGTTTAGCGGTTCACTTTTACTTCTTCCTATTTGAGACTCTAGTCAGTAGTTGAGACATAGTATTTTTCTGTATGAATCCTATATGGAAAATCTTAATTTACCAAATAATTGCCTACACCTAGAAAGGGTAAAAGGATTTTTTTCCCACGCTACCAAGCAACTTCAGACTCCAGCCAAGCTGTTCTACAATTCCGCTCAACCCTGACACTGACTACCCCCAGCAATAAAGTCTGATTCTGAGGTTAAAGGCCCACGCCCACAAGACTGTCCCCCAATCAGACAACAGTCCCAAGTGTGGCTTGCTAACTGACAAGGGTTCTCATGACCCCATCCTTGGTTCTATCAGTTTACTAGAGCAGCTCAAAGAACTCAAGAGACCTTTTATTCACTAGATTACTGGTTTAGTACAAAGGATATGAATCAATAACCAGTTGAAGTAACACACAGGATGAAGGGGTACGGAGTTTCGGTGCTCTCTGAGTGTAAAACACTCCCTCTTTCTCCAACAGCTCACCAACCAGGAAGCTCTCTTAAAATTCCTTCCTTTGAAGTTTTGACACAAATGTTGTGACTGAGGCATGATGGATTAACTCATTGGCTACTGCAGATTGACTCAACCTCCTGCCCCTCATCTCTCACATCCTACGCCCTTCCCTAGGTTACAAGCCTCAGATGACATGCTTGGTTCTCCTGGCAGTCAGTCCCATCCTTGGGTGCTGTCCCAACATCACTGCATTAATATAACAAAAATGCCATGGTTGCATTACTTAGAAAGTTATAAGGGTTTTAGGAACCCTGTACCAGAAAGACAGAGGAAGACCAAATAGACATTTCTAATTATAAATCACACTATCACTCCAGGTTATTTAAAGGATGATGGGGCTTTCTGTTAAAAGTTTGAGAGGCTAGGTAAAGTTTCCCCCCAAATCTTTTATTATTTCCTATGTCTACAATATCTGAATTTCTGCCCCTGACAAAGTACAGAAAGAGAATATTAGGCCTGCTTTCTTCAATAAAAAGGGAGATGTCAATCTGAAAATTGATCAGTGCCTAACTCAGTACCCAATCCAGAGTAGAAATCCATAAAATTTGAATAAATGGATGATTCATTGTGCAGAACTGCAGACAGGTTTGTAAAAGAGGAAGAATGGGATCACTTAAAACTGATCCAGAACGTGCCTGGAAAGCATGTTTTTTTAATCATTGCGACCATCTTGCTTTTAAGTGAATTTTCTTCCTTATGAAACATCAGGTTTCCTCATGAGTTTGGAACTGATTTGAGCTTCTGCTGTGTGCTTGCTGACTGTTCTTCACTACCAGGGAATGATTCCTAACTCGGGTCGTGTTTGCTCTTGTTGTAGCTATTGTCCAAGGAGACACCTTAGAAGATATCTATAACCAATGCAAGTTTGTTATCGAAGAGCAATCTGGGCCTTTCATCTGGATTCCCTCAAAGGAAAAGTTATAAATTAGCTACTGCACCTCTGACAATGACAGAAGAGCATTTAGAAGAACAAAATATATATAATATACTACTTGGAGGCTTTTATGTTTTTGTTGCATTTATGTTTTTGCAGTCAATGTGAATTCTTATGAATGTACAACACAAACTGTGTGAAGCCATGAAGGAAACGGAGGGGCCAAAGGGTGGGACAGAAAAGACATTGCAGTATGCAGGAAAGTTTTGGTTTGCTCAAAGTACCAGGTGTAGGGATAAACCTCTGATGGGCTTTCTGCCTGAGATGGGCAGCCTCCTCACCCCAGCAGATGTCCAGAGCTGATTTAGCTGCTGAGTTCTCTGTGTTTTTTGCTTTAAAGAAAAGTTGCCAGCACTTGGACTTCTCCATCCTTCCCATTACCCACATCGTAGTTGGTACCCTTCGAATTTTATAACTATGCACATCCTTTGATTTCTTAACAAGCAAATGAAAGAAGGAAAAAAGAAAGGAGTCCTTTTGGAGACTGCAAAATATCAGGGAAGGCTGAGTGAGTAGTTTCTTTGACTGGCATCTGCAAAGAGGAGCATTTCATAAAATTGGCAAGTGTGTGGAGGACTGGCCTTACTGAGGGAAGGGCATTCCACCTGAGATTAGCTTTATGATTGTTTATTGTCTGTTTTGCCATTTATAAACTGAAAGAAGGCACTAAAGATGCGAATAATTTATACAATAAAGCTATATTAAATGTATAGAAATTAATTTCTATAGGTTAAAAAGTTTTGTGAAATATTTTGTAAAGACTAATTAATTGAAAGACAGAATGTATGCACTATCAGCAGAGGATCAAATTCAGGAACTCAAAGTTGCACTCTCCCTTCTGTTGCCAACAATCCATTAAGAGCATCTGAGTTCCTCCCAAAGTCTGACAAAGACTTCTCCCTCACTTACCTCTCATGATCTCCCTTCCATAATAGTAATACACTCTCAAGGAGCACATCCCTTAACGACTTGCCCTCGTGGATATTTTTGGAAAACATTTGGTTAATGCATTTTTAAACTGATGGCTTTCAGAGACAAACTTGTGCAAAAGATCTAAAGGGAAATTTTACCTTTTTCTTGTTTAACAACCTGAGCCTGTCATGAATATAGTTGAATATCTTTGTTCCTGGTTATTTACATGTAATTCTTAAAGGGTCACTTAATTTTCTGGCCATGAGTAATTAGGATATATATATATTTTTTTTGTATGCTTTATGAGTTACTGAGGGTTTTCAAACTGCAAGAGATGGCTTAGAGCCATGGAGAGATCTGTCCTGAAATGCACTATTTTTTTGAGGAAGAGAGAGAAGTATCTGGTTGGGGGGGGTGAGAGGTGCAGACTTTTCTTTCAATGTACAGAGCAAAGTGATAGAACCACAGAGAAAGACAATTCACAACTTTGAGCTCAGTCAATTGAACTGCCTTTCTTGGGGGCTGCACCTGGACCAACTTTATTTTTTAGCAATCATAATAATGATGATTTAAAAAAAGAAACCTCCCGAAGCCTATATCCCACTTTAGAGCTGATGGTGATGTCAGCATTGCTTGTGCCCATGGTGTTTAGAGAGACTTTTCAACAATCTCAGTAACCACTCAGCTCTGGGTTCTATGCATGCCCAGACTAAGCCCCATCGCCTTATTTCTGGGGTACATCCAGACCTGGCAGGGATTCTGCCACACTGTGCAGCAAACCAGCATGCAGGCTAGGATGGGAGAGCAAGAGGGAGTCATCAGCGATGATGGGGCTTCTTCACAGTAAGAACATCGGAGCTCAGATTGAGGGTCTCTTTCCAAAAACAAGTATATCCATTTTATATTAACCACCACTATCTGCCTGGCTACAATCACGAAAACAAACACAAAGTTGCAAAATTGTTCATCTACCTAGAGTCTTGAGGCTGCCTTTGCCAATGGAAGGGCTAGCAAAGCATTTCCCTCTAATGAAAGTTAAATTTTCAGAGATTTCTTTAGAGTACTCAAAACATTAAAGAGGTGTCCATGCCTGCAATTTGCCGGTTTCAGGTCAAGGCCGACTTTCATCACTATTGCTCCCAGAAGTTTTCTGCCACCAGAATGCCATTCCTGATCCCAGCTCTATTTTTAGGCCACCATGATAACTTCTTTGGTTTCTCAACTGAGCATGCAACCATTTATTTAAAGAAATGTCATTAATGAGTAGATGTTTCCGTGGGTCGTGTGATGTGCTTTCCATTAAATATTAAGTAATTGCTGTGGCTGAGTACAATCAAATTGAACCACCAACTCTTGGTTTTGTAGTAATATAATTATTTATTTTCCTAGTGTAGATGCTTCCAGATTAGAACTGGCATTTGCACTGATTTTTTTATGTAGATTTATATAAATATATATACACATATATATTTGCTTGAGGAATCACCAAGCCAATTGGTGAGAGGGTCTTTTCCTAGAGAATTTACACCTCCATTTGTTGTGTTGTCTTGCGCTTCCCAATGTTGAGGTCTCTATGGCTCCAACGAACAGAAATATTTTCAGCAAATCCGATGACATGTACAAAAATGGCATGAAAGTTACCCAGATAATATCTGATGTGCACTGCACTTGGAGCCTGGGGCCAGACTGGTGCTAACACTGCAAACTTTGTCCGGAGCTCTCTCCAATTTGAAGGCTTGCTGGGGGCGCAACGTCACCTTCACGTGCTGGGCCCTTTCAGAAAAGTGCCAGATCGTGTCACTGGTGCTATTTGGCATGCTCTGGTACAATGTGTAGCGCCATGGGGGTCTCAGCTTTACCAAAATCAAAATCTCATGTGTCAGCTAATCGCAGGGGCATTTGCTTTTTGCTCTCCTCCCCCAGGGTTTGTTGGCCACGTCTTCACAGCCCATTTTTCCTGGCTTCCTGTTCGTGGCTCGATCCTTGAGGTGAGCCCATCTCTCTGAAGCGCACTCAGGTGCTCTGTCAGCTGTCTTAGATCTTACTGCCAGCCCTCCAGGACTCGCTCTGCCTCCCGCCTCGTTTTTCTCACTCTTTCCCTTTGTTCTCCCCTGCCCTGCTTCCCTCTCGCCGCCTCTTCTTTTACTAACCTTTCTCGTCGTCTTCTCTATGTTGTTCATTTTCTCCGACAATCCTTTCCTTGTCCCCTTCACTCCCCCCCCCTTGCGTTTTCCCTCTTCAGTCTCAGTCTCTTCCCACTTCTTTTCCTCTTTCCCTCCTTTCCTGTCCTTCCTCCTCTCCTCACATCTCCCCCATCTCCTGCCCCAACCCCACTCCATTTTTCCGTCCTATCAGGGCTCATGGCTGAATCAGACAGCAAGTCCACACATTGGACTGATGGCACAAATGCTTCCAGTCACCATTTCACCCATGGGTGGCTCGGAAAGCCAGACTGAGCGTGAGGTCCCACGCCAGAGCAGCTCCAGCGCCCCTGCAGAGCCGGCCTGCACCGCTGCCTGGCAGTGACGAGCAAAGCTCCGGACCCCGCCACACCTGGGTGCCTCTGCCTGAAGCTGTCCAGAGAGCCCGCCCCAGCACCACCCCTGGCTCTGAGGACACTCCCTTCAACAAAGGCAGACTCTGACCCCAACACTCACTCGAACAGCCAACCTCCCCCTTTTCATTGGAGCCATGCCACCACCTCGGTTTGGAGAGAGACATAGTATTTTTTCCATCATTAGCTTTCTTTTTTCCCATTCTCACGTGAAGCCCCCTCTATTTTTCAGCTGGTGATTGCTCTGGTGAGATTGAATGGACTCGCTGGTGAAGTAACATCTCCTTTTTCCTGTCTTGGTCCTGCCTAAATTCCTACAAAATGTTTAAGGCAATGACTCAGGCTAGTTCCTAAGTTTATCAGAGTAATTAGTCATTCTTGGGGGGAAAATAGGAACATTTCCCTTAAAGTATGTGGAGTACCTTCTATGAGAACTGGTTTACCAGAGGACTCCCTACAGAATTCTGTTGCTACACACTAATGTATGGTATATATGGTATTAGATCATGTATACACATACTCCACTGGGTATGAATGAACGTGGGTGGACACCCACACACACACACTCCAGTCTGTAAATATCCTTCCTCACTGAAAACTGTGCTATAGAAATCATTTCTTGTACAGCTGTGCAGTTTCTTGTAGCAGCTGAGGGCAAGCTAAGACAGGACGACACAGATCACCTAACAGGTAGAATGCAGAATCTCCAGAACACCAAATGGCAAAGTTAACTCCCAATGGGATGGCAAACTTTTCTTCTCTCCTTTTCGAATTTGTGTTTCCTAAGTCTGTCTTAACTTCTGAGTGCACCAGGCTATACCCGTTAGATCCTTTCAATATGAAATTTTGTGCTTCTCTCTGACAGGATGTTTCTCCACTGAGCTGTAAAGTGCAGGTTGGGAGGGAGGGGGAACCATCCCTTGCCTGAGCTGGAGCTAACAGAGACACTGCACAGCTTACACTCCTGTTAAGTGTAAATATTCGACACTTCCATTCCATTTGTGTAAAATAATAAAGCACACATGATTATAAAATCGAGATGTATATTTCATACTCAATGTGTCTGTGCACATTTATTGCGTTTTCAGTTGTCAGAGGTCACCCATTGTAAAACTGCTTGATAAGAGTGTTTATAAACATGTCATGGCTTTATTATAAGATATAAATATTAAATACTTTATACTCTAGACTCTATAGCAAGTCATTTCCTCCCAAAGCATAAATTGGTCTTATTTCATAAAGAACTGAATCATTTCTTTTTTTGTTTTAATCAGTTAGATCTGATTTCAGAACTCAAATTTGTGCTGAGAAATATTGGTACTACTGAGAGGAACTGAAAGTGGTGTTTATGTGTGTTTTTAAATATTTAGTTACTGTCTTGGCCTGCTTCTAATCAGGTTTTTGCCAAGAGTGAACAATGTATTAAAAGACAGATTTAAAAAAAAAAATCTTGTTAAAAAAAAGATCAATTCCACATACTTTAAAACTGTGAGATTCAGAAGATACTAAAAATAGAGAATCTTTTTTCCTGATCTGATACTTATGATGCAAAGAAAAGCACAAACTGGGGAGGAGGCGTTTTTACCCATCTATACTAGGGCTTCACAGCGGTCCCGTTCCAACCACGTGACCAAAAATGTCAGCTTTGGGACCTGAATCTGCCAGATACTGTTCTATATTCTTCCCTCAGGTTAAACGAGTGCCTTGTCATGTTGACATTTAGACAGCACAGGTCTGACAGCTGGAAACTCAGCCAAATTCTTCCCACAGATGAGGTGAAATTTTACCATCAAAGCAGGCCTTGAAGTATGTTGTCTTTTCAGTAAACGATCATCTGAACGCATCCACCATAGGGGAAGCCACAGCTGCTGGGCATAGTGTCTTGGTCAGCACCCCCAGCCCACAAGAGTCTCCACCGGCGCTCCTGCCACCATTTGTGGTGCTTAGCAAGGGAAAAAGGCCATGGTGCTAAGCCTGCAAACCCATTGCTCATCTCATCTTTTGACAATTTCTCAATTTTTAACATTTTTACACAGTTGCTCCATAATTAATGTTAATGGTAACACTATACAATAATGGGTGTGTTTATTTGGGAGGGAAAAAAACAAGACTTTTGGACTTTTCTATGGTCCTATTTTAGTTTGCATGAAACATTTTTTAAATGCGATCATTCCAGAGTCTCAAAAGCGAGACATGGAGTACACATCTCAACCTACTAAACATCCAGTGCCAGAATGTCAAAGCCTCAGAAGGTGTAAAGCAAAGAAGCGTTTGTACAGGGGCCACCAACTTTCTTATCACTATCAGACCAAGTGCCCCTGAAACTGGCAGGGGACCTTCTAGGGCTCAGGTCTTCAGGGGCTCACACTGCAGGCTGTGTTCTCAGCCTTCCCTTAGGGACAGTTCAGAAGGTACTATTTCCATGGTGACACCAGCCCCTCCCCCTTCTAACGTTACAGCCGTGTCAGGTACTGACATAGTCCTCAATTCCCCTGAGCACAGGCAAGACAAAGCTAGAGTAGGCGACGTACTTTTCTTAACCTGGGAATAACAAAACGGAAATAGATGATCTGATTTCTGGAATGTGCCTGGGACACTCAGGCCATCTTTCCCCACCTCCTAGAGGTCCCTCAAGAACAGCTAGCTGGGCTGATACTGGAACCTCTCCTCTGTTGCACACACTTGAGAGACATCATCTCTCCGCCTGACTCAGCACAGCTCCCCATTACCTATGCAGCAGGTGAAATGTGCCTACACTCTCCATCCCCTTTGTTCCCACACATTCTAATACAAGTGGAGATGACTCACTGTAGTTAATATTGTCTACTTTTTAATTGCAAAATCAACTTTAATGCAGATTATTTGACTGCAGTGAGTACAGGAAGGTACCAAGAATGGGGTGATGCCATCATAGGAGTAGCCAGGCTTGGATCCAGAACTTTTTAAGCTGCTGTTGACAACTCACTAGTAGGTAGATTCTAAGCCACCACCACTTTTTAATTCAGCAGAAATTAGAATACCTTAAGTGTGTTAAGATTGATACAGTTTCACGTTATTTGAAGCAAGTGTAAAATGTATTTCTTGCTGAGGTCATAGTCACAGTTTGAGCAACGGAACCCAGGCCTCCCTCAGCCAGCTTGCAGGGACCATGGCTGAGAAATGGAGACCCCAGAAACCCTCGCTGTGGTGCCTCCCCATTTTCTTCACAGATCTAGTTTCACAATGCACAAACAAATACACAATCCCTCTTCACCCAACTAAGACAACTAGTAAAATTTAAAACAACTGCTTCAATTCTACTAAAGATGATGTCCAACTGAGGCAAGGCTCTAAATCAAACTAAAATAACCATAGAACTGAAGGCTCTTTCCAATAGTGAACACTGGCCTTTTCAGTTTCCAAAGTACTGGTCCACTGCCCGTACAAAAGTTGTGGAGTGAATTCTTTAAACCTTATCTGGTAATTTAAATCTCTACATAAATTTAGTATGGTCTGATGACCCACAGCTTCATCCATGTTCTGTACCAAATAAGTGTTTTCCTAAAATAAGGAGCACAAAGTTTTGAGGTATTTTTATAAATGAGAAAAAAAGATGCAAGGACAAATGGTTTGAAACATATTTCACAACGAATCCCAACACATCAATAAAATATCACTATAGGCCCTCCCTAGTGGCACAGTGGGTTAAAGCACTGCACTGAGAAGCTAAAGCCACTTCCGCATGAGTTCGATTCCCGCCTGCCCCGGAGGTGATCCACATGGTGTGGCAGACCTCTCCTGACCCGCCTGCTGCTCCCCTAAGCAGTGTACTTCATAGATCTGCCTGTTCTGCTCCCCACTCTGTCTCTGGTGAAGCCTCTCACCACCCCTGAGCCCCTGGCCTGAACCCCAGTTCTGTATGTACAAATAAATTTTTTTAAAAATTTTTTAAATATTTATCACTGTAAAACTATTCAAAACCCTAAAACCAAGGCCTAAGAGAGCCAGAAACTCTCTCTCTCAGCTGAAGTTTGTCTTTCCAGTTCTGCTCCCACACCTTGTTTGGATGACTGGCGTGAGTAGTATTTGCCCTCCTGTTGCCAGAAATGCCAGTCCTGCTGCCTGCTACAGAAAGCCAATAAGCAGGACAAAAATTGAATCTATAAGTGTTTTTATTTTTCAGATCACTGGCAATTGATCTTAGAGAGTGGTGGGCCTACCAAGTACTGTGAAGAGCCCATTCTGCCGTCTCATCTCTAGCTGGACTTTTTAATAATGCATTAAACACAGACAGAAAAACGCCAATAGAACGTGTCACAGTTGATGTTTTTGGTATCCATCACATTCATCCCCCAGAATTTATCAGCTTCCCTGTTCCCCCAGCCCTGGTACATCTCATGATGCCAATGTCTGGCATGTCTTTCGGCTTCCTTAGGGCAAGAATCTCAGTTTAAAGCAAGAGTTTCAGCCTAAAGAAAACATCAGATACTGTGTATGTGTAGCCTGTGCTGTGTGAATGAGGTGTGGTGACTTCCCTTCCTCCCTAATGCCCTGTCACTTCAAAATTTTTAAAGTTTGGCCTGAGCACACACCACATAGCAGAGAGAAGCCTAAAGATGAGACAAAGACATAGAACAGGCTTCAACCAAGTAAAATTCAATTGACTCTACTTCAAGTGAATAAAAGAGATGAAGGGAATAAAAATACTTCATTTTCAGGTGTACATTACAATTTCAAATTCCTCGTGGCTCTGAATAGCAAATTATAATCAACAACTCCTTAGTAATGAAGTTACAGTCCCACAGGAAATCAGTTGATGTCTAGTCAACAAAAATAGAAAACGCACAAGTTAAAAGACTGCCTCCCGTTGAATGGTTTCATTGTCAAAGATTCTTCCTGTATCTTTGGTATTCTATAACCTTTCTGGAGAAATTCTGAATTGTGGCAGTGCTGGTATGAAGAAACCCCACCCCTTGGTCTCTCCAAGCCAGTTTATTTTTCTTAACTGGCTATATCCATCAAATCCATCTTTGAGCCCACAGTGTTTTTGTCTAACAATTGGTGGATGAATTTTGACTATCTGAAATTCTTGTGCAATATAAAATCATAGGAACATATGTGATGCATTCAAAGATAAATGTTCTCACTAAACCATGGTGACAATAATAGCACCATAGAGAATTATTGTAAAAAATACATGGAAATTGCCTGGCTGCCCTAAGCATTCAGCAAATCTTAATTATTGTTGGTGTGTTTTTTCACTGATTCTCAGCTCTGTGGAAGAGACAAGGCCATGTCCTTCTCCATTTAGGAGGCCAAGAAAACAGGGTTGAGGGAAACAGAGATTTGCCCCAAGCCACACAGCTGCTGGCCGAGCTGGTCCGGTCCAAACTCAGGCTTCCATTTCCCTAGTTCAGTTTCCTTCACTGCAAAGCCAAACAGCTTTCTGGATGCTAATTAAGGATCTGCTTTGGATCAGTGATTACTAGGAGAGGGCCAGAAGGCTAAACTAATGGACAAACAGATAGCCATATGCCTCCGACCTGGGTCACCTGTAACACACCGTGTTAGGAATGAGTCACTGGCAAAAGGCAAAGCTGTTATCTGAGCAGACCTCAGCAAGCATGAATGCAGGAACTCCCTTATCAAATGACACAACCAGAACCAAGGGACCAATAAAGAAAAAAGAAAGCTACATTCATAGACATAAAAGATAAAATAGTTACAGGTGGATGGGAAATGGGGAGACAAGAAAGATGTTGTTTAGGATACAAACTTTCATTGAGTTACAAAGAAGCACTACAGAAATAATGTGTAGCATAACAAACATAGACAATAATATTTTATTATAATCATCAAACTTGCTACTTATTCCAATCATGATAAAAGAGAT